ACTGTGAAGCTCTTTGTGACCTGTCTTCTCCCAGGGCCAAGGACAGGAGATGGCACATGAGCTGGGTCCAGAGTCCATCCTGACCTTATGGGCCTTATGGCCCAAGGGCACCAATATCTCTTGTAATAATTTGATCAGCTCTTAGCTGATCTGGCCAAAATTGACAATTTATCAATAGTGATTTTTCCAGTACAGTAGCATGAGCTATCTATCTATCTATCTATCTATTTATCTATCTATATATATCTCCATGAATTTAGGTCTTTTAAATTTCTCTCAGCAATGTTATGTATCACTGTCCACAAACTATGGCCTATAGGCTAAAGTTGGCCCCCATTTGTTTTTACAAGGCCAGTGACTATAATGTTAACATTTTAAAAGGGGTTTTTAAAATTAAAAACAAATAATATATGAAAGAGACCGTAAGTGACTTGCAAAGCCTGTAATATTTACTATCTGGCTCTCTAAGAGAAAGTTTGCAACCACTGTTTGTAGTTTTCTGTGTATTGATCTTGCACAGCTTTTAATTTATTCCTAAGTATTTCATGGGATTTGTAAATACTATATCTTTTCAATTTTAGTTTTTTTTTTTTGGTTGGAATCATTTTTAATATTTAAATACAAAAAATGAGCACTGAATTTTTTTTCCTTTTACACCACACACACACACACACACAGGTCTAACAGCCAAAATATGCAGAGAAAATGAGCTCCTGCTCTGTCCTCCACAGTCCCCATCCTGTGGCTGAAGCTGCTACAGGCCCACCCTTCCTCCCCTTCCAACATACATGGAAATTCACAGTGGCTGCTTCACAGTGCAGCTATAATGCATTTTGTATTTTATAGTGTGCATGTCCCTCCCCAACATCTCTATTCTTAAAAGTAAAACCATTGTTAACAGTCAGGGGTACATCCTTCCCAATGGCATCAGTTTCTACCCCACAATGGGATAGTGAGGAGGTCTTCTAATCAGGAGTAATTTAGTGAAACAGGTGAGATGGCCAGAGCTGGAGCAACCATCTGCATTGCTGCCTCTAGTATCACACTAAGGACAGAAGAAATAAGTCCGGACAGCGTGGCAGGCACAGTTGCAAGTTGGGAGTCTCTCCATGAGAATGTGGGGAGAGTTCTCCCCACCAGGTTTAGATAGATTAGTGTGCCAAAGTTAAAAAAAAATCATCCAATAATCAGCAGTTCAAACACTATTGAATTTTCAAACTTCTTCCACCAAGACAGGTCAACTATAGCAGTAACAATCTAGATCTTTCCGGGAAGTGAAGGTGGAGCCCCTGGCATTCCTCCTGACAGCCCTGTGTTAGGCCCTAGAAGTATCTGCTGTTGCTGCAGTTGCTGCTGCTGCTCCATCTGCAACTTCTCAGTCTCAAAGACGACAGGAAGAACCAGGATCATGAAGGAAGTGGTTCCAATCCACAAGGCTGCCCTGGAAAACCCGTACATTTTTTGAGCCACGAAGAGGGAGAGATCAAAAGTAGCTGCAGCCGCGGACCAGACACTCTCCAGGAACATTTCTGTCAAACTCCAGAGTCTCTCCGACAGGGTGTCATCTAGCTCCTCGTCGTCTTTCTCTTCCAGCTCCTCTTCAGGCTTCTTAGCATTGCCTTTCGGAAGCAATTCCTTGGGGGACAGGGGCGCCCCTGGGCTGGCCGCAGGGGCGGCGGCAGCCATGGCTGTGGGGTTCAGTTTTAGCTTTCAATTGTTCATTGGTGGTATACAGAAAATACATTTTAAAAAATGCATATTGACTTATATACTGAGACTCTGGTAAATTCTCTTTTGACTTCTAACAGCTTCTTCACTGATTTCTTTAGGATTTTCTACACACACAGTAAGGTTTTCTATGAGTCACATTTAAATTAAAATGAAAGCCATTTGAATTTCTTCTGTTTTAATCTGCATGTCTTTGAATTTCTCTTTCTTACCTTTACATTTGCAGGGACCAAAAATTGTCAGCACAGCACTAGCATAGCCAACTACACAGCTGTCTGTGAGTAATTTTCTCCTAGGTGCAAGGACAGGAGATGCAAATCAGGTGGGTGCAAGATCCACCCCGGCTGAAAAGCCTTATGCCTCAAGGGCACCAATATCTCTTGGAATAATTTAATAGACCAGCTTTCAGAGTCCTGGGTGAAACTGACAGATTACTAATATAAAGTTTCAACCCCGATAGCTGACACATACTCACATACACACAGATACACAGGTACATATGTGTATTGGCATCTGGTAGTATACGTAAAAAAAATTTTTATATATATGTATATATAACATTTATTTCTTACATGCTGGATTTGCTACAATCTCCAGTAAAATGTTGAATGTAAGTAGAGACAATGGACATCATTTTTCAGTTCCTGTTCTCAGGGTAAAAGTGTATGTTGTTAACTGAGTATTTTTATTTTTATTTTTTTGGGTTTTGGTGTTTTTTTTATGTGCATATTACCATATAAAGGAAATTCACTCCAGTTCCTATTTTGTTACAAGATTTTTTTTTGAAAGGAATATTAAATGCAGTCAATTAATTTGTCTTATGCCACTGTGAACATGGGTGTACAAATACCTGTTTGAGTCCCTGCTTTCAGTTGTTTTGGGTACATACTGGGAGTGGAACTGTTGAATCATAGGTAATTCTATGTTTAAATTTTTGAGGAACCGCCATGAGGTTTTCCACAGCAGCCGCTTTGTTTTAAACTCCCATGAGCAATGCACAGACATTCTAATTTCTCCACATTCTTGCCAACATTTGTTATTTTTTGTTTCATTGATAATAACCATTCTATTGAGTGTGAAGTGATATCTCATTGTGGTTTTGGTATGAATTCCCCTAATGATAATTGATATTGAGCATCTTTTCATATACTTATTTGTAATCTGTACCTTGTTTTGGAGAAGTCTATTCAAGTACTTTGCCGTTTTTTCAGCTCGGTTATTTGTTTTTTTGTGGTTGAGTTCTTTATACATTTTGGATATTAATCCATTATCAGATATATGTTCTGCAGGTATTTTCTCCCACACTAGAATTGTCTTTTCATTTTCTTGAAAGCATCTTAAGTTCAAAAGTTTTAAATGATATAAAGTCTGTTCCTTTGGTTGCTTGTGCATTTGGTGTTATAGCTGTTAAATTATTCCCAAATCCGATGTCAGGAAGCTCTTCCCACGTGTTCTTCTAAGCACTTTATTTGGAAGTCATTGATTTAGGGGCAAATTAGAAAGGAACACAAAACAGCAGTGCAGCTGGGATGCAAAAAAGGCTTCGTGGACAGACAGGCAGAAGTGACTTGCCCTTGTTGGAGCATACGTAAGTCTCAGTACACCCTGCTGAGACGGTTGTGGGCCATGAGACCCCAACTCCTGGGACATCTGTGCCTGGACTGTGGAACTTTGATCCACATGGCTCAGTTAGATCCCATATCCCTGGAGGTTAGTTGGCACAGGGAGAAAACAGCACAGCCCTCGGAGAGCATCACTAATAGGAGGGGCTGCCCCGGCTCCCCTCACCTGACAAGGCCCTAGTGCACTCCCTGCTGAGGCCCAGCTGCACCTCTGGGTTCAGTCCATCTCTCCCCTCCCCCAATGCTTCAAGAATTATTTCCACTACAGGTTAGTTTTGATTGTTCATGTAAATGAATTATATTCAGTTTTGTACTCTCTTTTAAAAGCTTCTTTCACTCAGCGTGTTGTTTTTGTAATGCAAAAACATTTGAAGTTGATAAATTCCTGTTATCACGAATGCATTCCTTCTGATACCTGAGCAGTATGAATATACCAGAGTTTGATTTTGCATTCTGTATGTATGGATATCTGAAATATTCCTAGCTTTACCTACTACAAATAAAGCTGCTATGAATTTTCTGGTACAAGTCATTTTGTGGACATGTACGTTTATTTCTCTTGGGTAAATACTTAGGAATGAAATTGCTGGGTCAGAATAAGTTTATGGGTAATTTTGTGAGAAACTGCATGACCTCTTTGCAAAGTGGTTTTAGCATTTTGTTTTCTCACCAGAAGTGAAGAAGTGTTCCACGTGCTGCATGTGCCTGCCAACATTTGGAGCTGGTAGACTTTAAAACTTTATCTACTCTTGTGGGGGAAGGTATAGCTCAAGCAGTATTTAAAAAAGAAATAAAAGGGAAAAAAACCCTTTATCTATTCTGGTGGGCACGTAGTAGCATCTCACTGTGGTTTGTGTCATTTCCCTGATGACTAATGATGTTGAGTACTTTTACACGTGCTTCTTGGACTTTTGTGATTCTTTTGTAAGAGAATTACTAAAATGTTTTGCCCAATTTCTTATTGTGTGACTAGGCATTTTATTACTGTAGTAGGTTTTTAAAAAAAATGTATCCTGTAAACCAGTCCTTTGTCAGATACATGTTTTGCAAATATTTTCCCCAGTCTATGGCTTGCCTATTCATTTTCTGAATTATGTATTTTTGAGGTGTCCTTTGTAAGTCTGAATTTTGTCTTTTAGTGGTCTTTAAATAAAAGGTTTTTATTTTAATAGACTCTCATTCCTTGGTATTTTGTTTTATGGTCTTTTTATTCCTAAGAACTTCTTCACATCCTAAAGCTATAATCAGAGTCTCTAAAACTGTATTCTAAAACTTTTATAATTTTGTTTTTAATATCTGGCCTCTTGAATTCTTCTGGAATGTGTTTTTGTGATGGTTTGAGGTTAGGATGTCAGAATCCCCCCCCATGCACAGAGCCAATATCTCAACCACATGTATTGAGGATTCCAACATCCCTCTACAGTCTCCATTTTTATTCTCTGCACCCATGAATTTCCCTCTCTGTAGTTTCTTTCCATAGTTCCAGTGACCAACAATCACTGATGAGTCATGGATTTCATCCTAGACATTTTCAGTAAGTACAGAGTGGCATGAATTCTTTTTTCCACTGTTACTCCAAAACCAAGAACCTGGATGCCAAGCCCACCCTCTCTGGGTGAAGCGTGAGTGTGGAAGAATGACTGGCCTAAATCCAATTTAAAGAAAAAGGTATGAAAGAGATACTTAAAACACTTTACAAACATTAAAATTATAAAGTATGCTTTGCCCACAGCAGGGATGATCTGGCCCTCAGTGAGGTCCGACGGTGGGAAGAAGCCAGGGTGAGCCCCCGTGTCTCCCCTCCCAGGCTGCCATCCCTTATCCTCCCAACACACAGGCTTCAGAAGTCAGTACACGAAGCCAGCAAGAGCAGCTACTTATGTATCCTATTCGTTGAGTCTCAGAAATTTTTGAAAAGTTAATCCTGGCACAACCTGATGCCACTCATACAAGTCAGTTCTTCCACACATAGTGAAAGAACAAAGGCATGTGAGGCAGGGGGCGAATTAACATGAAGGAGGCTTTATATATTTATTCGGGAGAGGAAAGTGAGAGAACCATTATGGAAAATGGGGAAGGGGGAAGGGGGCAGGTAGGCAGCAGGGGGAGGGGAGTACTCTCCCACTGCTACGGTGGTCCCTCCTCTGACAGTCCTGCCTTTGGATCCTACCAGTCTCAAGACTAGAGGAAAACTGGCCTAGAGTTTGGGTCTTCCAAACTAACAGTGGAGCGCAGCACGGTTGGTACTTAAAGATCTCTCTCTCCTCTCCGCAGTGACCTTCTCAAGCCAGTGTGTGGACCTCTGACCAGCCTCGTCTGAACCCATATCCTGTGGCATATACAGAAGCCCCTGGAGGCATTGGGCCTCCAGCTTGCTGTAGGAGGGAAAAGAGCAGGTTAAGTTTGTGTGGCGTCACTGGAATGGGCTGAGCCTCTCCCAGCATTCACGGTGCACAGCGGTCATCTGCTGTCATTTCTAGAGGAAGCTTTTGCCTCTGGGTTGCTGAGTTTCTGGTTCTTTCACCAGAAGGAAATGAATAGGTTGGTGATTCAACACTTTGCATCCCCAGTGAAGTCCTGGCCAGGGCAGGTGATGAGGGTGCCTCAAAGACAAGGCTGAGGTTTGCTGTGCCCACGCAGAGGCACGTTCACTCCGTAGGTAGGAATAAGTGTGTCTGAATCACAGGTATTTTCTCAGTGAAGTTGGCTCCTACAAAGCAAAAAATGGGTACCCTGGCTGGGTAGGCCCCAGATGTTCTGATTGAAGGTGAGGATAGACGTGCTTTCCTAAAAATGTATGGTGTGGTCCCCTCTGGCTGTGAGACATGTGCTCTGGCTGTGAGCCCCTTAGGTGCTCTGAATGATGGTGGAAACAGAAATGTCTCCAAACACAGGTACAGTGCTCTCCCCTCCAGCTGCATCACCTGCCCTCTGGCTTGGAAGGTCCCTCATACTCTGACTGGATTCATGAACAGCGGTATCTCCAGTCACAGGTTGGGTGTCAGCCCCTCTGACAGTTAGCAGCTGTGCTTCCCTAGGCATCTGACCGAAGGCTGGAACAGAAGTCTTTATTGGCTAGATGGGCCCCAAGTGCTCTGTCTACATGCAAGAAAAGAATGAGGTGCCCCAAAGATGGACCTGGGTTTGCATACAGGCACAATGACCTCATAGCTGCCGCTACCTCGAGGGGCCGAGTTGCTGATAGTACTCTCCCACTGCTACGGTGGTCCCTCCTCTGACAGTCCTGCCTTTGGATCACTATTTGATCAGCCTCCCTCAACAGTTATGGTGCTGCAACTTCCTGTTGCGACACGTGTGTTTGGAACAGGTGGAGCC